CACCGAGGAAGTACCCGGTCGTGGTGACGCATGCCCGTCATCCTAGCACTCCGGGAGGCTGAGACAGGAGCATTGCCAGCTGGAGCCCAGCCTGGTTAACAGCGACTTGGAGAGACGCTGCCTCAGAATAAAATATTAAAAAAGGCTGGGGATGCAGCTCGGTGCTGAGGCCCTGGATTCCATCCCCAGCACCTCCAGAAAAGCTGGGGAGCCATGGGAGACCCTGGAGTCCCTCAGTATTTGGGCTCCTCCCACCCACGTGGCGATCTCGCCGGAGGAGCAGTCTTTTTGGCAGGAGGACATCTGCACCAACACCTGTGGCGGCAGTGCCCCGGGGCTGGGACGTTGCATAGGGCTTCGAACTCCAGCACTGCAACAGAAACAACCGGTGGCCTCCCGGGTTCAGTGACCGCTCAGTGGCCCGGTAGCACTAGAGAAGTCTGCGGTCCCTCTCTGCACAGCGCGGGGCACAGGCGTGGCCCCAAGGTCACCATGCCCCTCGGGGACAGACCAGGCCCCAGTACAGCGAGGCCACAGGCTACGAGAGTGCGAGCCCTGATTCTCGAGCTTGGCGCCTCCCTGGCCAGGGTGGGGTCAGCGGGCGGGAGTAGCAGGTGGGGGCTGTCGATAAGGCTGCCCTTGTTAGAGAAAGCTCCACCAGGCCTCTCAGGTGAGCAGAGAGAGGTTCTTTGCTGAGCCAATAAAGCCAGAAAGGCCACAGACAGAGCCCAGAGGGAGGCATCCCTTTGTTTTTTATTCAGTAGCCAAAGAATGGAGCCCCAGAGCCTCTGCTCACATGTCAACCTTGCAAATCCAGGGAGGTGACAGGTTACAGACATAGGACAGTAACTGGGTGGGTGTGGTGGTGCAGACCTGTAATCCCAGAATTTGGGAGGCTGAGGCAGGAGGATCGCCATGAGTTCAAGACCAGCCTGAACTACATATTGAGACTCTGTCTCAAAAAGCAAACCCCCAAATTACAGATGTATGACAGGGATAGCAGGAGGTGGGCAAGGAGAGGACTACGGGTCCTTCCCGGGAGAGGCAAGATCTTCCAGGAACTTGGGCTGCCTCTTTCCCTTCTCTGGTGGCCTGGTGCTTCAGGTGAGGGTGGCTGCTCACTGTCTGCAGCCCCCAAAGGAGACAGCAGGTCTGGAGACAGACATCCTCTGGTCAGCCCAGCACGGGTGTCCCTTTCAGACTCTGGAAAATGACCTGGTCACTGTTGCTGTTAGAGCCACACAACCTGTCACCAGACTGGATCTCTAAAGAGAAGACAGGGATCTCATCTGGGCCCACACAAGTTCTTGGTGTGTAGTCCCAAAAAAAACATTTTAAGAGGTGTCAGTGAGAGGCATAGGCTGATTTGTTTTGTTTTGTGACACAGGGCCTTGCTATATAGTACAGGCTGGCCTTGAACTCACTGTATATCCAGGCTGGCCTCAAACTTGCAGTGATCCTTCTGCCTTAGCCTCTCAAATGCTGGGAATACAGATGTGTGCCATCATGCCCAGTGTTTTTAGTTTTTGACTTTTGATAAGTGAAAACACCAGGCTTTCCACTGCTGTAGCACAAGAAGCACATTCCCATTCCTCAAAAAAAAAAAAAAAAAAAAAAATCCCTTCCTCCGCTTTACAGTCACTCCTCTGCCACCCTCTGCCCAGCTCCAGCCACATCTCTGGTTTCCATGGTGTGCCCCGACCCTCCTGGCGTTCCGCATAAGACAGTCAGACAGTGTGCAGTCTGTCGTGCCCAGCTTTCCTCTTACCACACGGCTCTTAAGAGTCCCACAGGTCGCGTGCGCATTTCCCTCTAATGGGTCTATAGTTACTCTGGGCAGAGTGGCTACAAACCTGGCCTTGTCCTGGCCAGCTGCCATCGGCGCCTGTCTGTGTGGAGGTGCTCACTGTGTGAGTTCCACTGGTTTTGCTTTGTCCTGGCGGATGACCTAGGACCTAAGTGTCCGACCTGTGACCAAGTCAGGAAACTCCTTTATCCTGTGGCTGTTGTCTGCCTGGGTCCAATTCGTCCTCATCAAGGCAGCTGTCCCTGGAGCAGCCCAGCCCAGAGGAAAAGGGTGCGGTATTCAGTCCAGAAAGGCACGGAGTGGGCTATAGACAGGTCACATGAGGTAACAGGGGTGAAGAGGGGTGCTCGTGGGGGTTCGTACTCAGCCAGCAGCTACAGTGTCGGAGAGATGGGCTTGTGGGTGGAGGCCTTTATTTGGGTACTGGGTGGTTCTCAAGCAGCTTTCCCAAGGGAACTTTTTTTTTGTTTTGAGACAGTCTTACTATGTAGCCCAGGCTGGTCTCATACTCACAGCATCATACTCCTGCCTCAGCCTCCCCAGGGCTGGGATTATAGGTGTGTGCGTCCATGCCAGGCTTCCTAAGGGAATGACTAACTGGTCTGTTCAGAGCAAGCAGACTTGAGGCCCATGGGAGAGTCACTTTGATGCCTGCAGTTGGGCAGGGTTTGGGGGTGGTCGGGTGGGTTCTGTCTCCATCCATTGGGGAGGTTTCCGGGGGCAGCTCACAGTGCCAGGGCAGCTCAGGTGGCTTCGTCCTTCCCCCGAAGTGAGTCCAAACCACCTCATGCTCCATGGGAAGTCCCTGTCCTCCGAGGTATGTGGCAGCCCTCCTTAGTGCTGGCAAGTGGTCTCCACCACAAGGGAAACCAGGGCTGCGTTTCCCTTTGCACACTGTGGGCCGTCTGTTGTCCCCATTTGGTGACTAGAACTGAGTTGTACATTCCATGAAGATCTTTGTGTGGATTATCTTTTCCTTCCTCTTGGGTATCTGGAAGTAGGTGAGCTGGTGTAGTGTATGGAGTGGTGTTTTGTTTTGTCTCTTTTAGATATAGCAGTCTCACCATGTAGCCCAGGCTGGCCTCGAACTCATAGTGATCCTCCTGCTTCAGCCTCCAGGGGGCTGAGATTATAGACATGTACTGCCGCATCCGGCTCTTTTATGATTTTCTAACCCGCCATGTGACAGATCCATCACAGCAGCCTTGCTACCGCCACACTGTGGGGCTGGAAGGGTCTGGAAGGGGTGGGGGTCCGAGCTGGCGAAAGTCCTGGCATCTACCACCCATGCAGTGGCCGGGAGCCCGCTGCCCCTCTCCGGAGCCTCAGCTGCCCGTCTGCTGCTGTCTTCTTATCTAGAAATCCATATAGTTGTGTCTTGTGCTAAGTCACCCGACTCTGCCCTGGCCTTCTGGGGCCGGGAGGGCTGTGTCCCACTGCTGTGTCAGCCCCTGGGGCCTCTGCGGGATGGCTGTGCAGTGCTGCGTGGCCCTGTGCCCTGTGGAAGCCCCTGCCCAGATCCCAGCTGGGCCACCAGCAGCAAGCAGGAAGCAGCTGCAGTAGCTGGACCGGCCTTGGAGCCTAAGGATTTTTTAATCACCCAAGATTTCAATCAAAACATTTAATCTAAATTACACAAATACCAATTTGAGCAGTTTTCTGGAGTGACCTTTATGAAGTCAACAACAAATTTCTTGATAAACGTCCTTTTAGCAAAGTTTTATTTTCTGGTTTTAATGAACTTCTTATACTACACTTTAAAAAACCCATTAGGGGCCAGGGATTTTGCTCAGTGGTTCCGGCCTCACAAGCACAAGGTCCTGAGTACAATCCCTGATACCAACCAACCAACCAACCAACCAACAAACAAAAACCCCATTAATGTGTCACAAAACCGTTTCTAGGAAGTGTATATATTAGAAGAGATCGTATAATAGGGTGGGCCTCTGTCTCCTCAGGGGAAAGGCCAGTTTTTTTCTTGGATACAGACTTATTAAGTCAGAGGGGAAGGAAAATCACAGCTATTCACACAGCATATTTACTGAACCTTGGCCTTTTCCCATTTCTAATCTTTTCACAACTGAATTCCAATTCCTCAGTAACAGACCTAACCATTTGGCCAGCAATGGGAAAATTGTCGTTTGCTTTCGCTCTCCACCTAATACAACAAGCAAAGACTTTCCTAATGCAAATAAAGCACAAACAAAACAAAACAACAACAAAGAACCCACCCCAAAACAAAACAAAACCCAAACCCAAGCAATGGGAAGGATGGGACCCTTCCCACCCACCCCCAAATCCAGGGAAACTTCACTTCCTGCTCACACCGGAAATAGAAAGTTCGCCTGCTGTGAATTTTTGCTTAAACATTGAATTATTCAGAATGCCCCCACCCAAAAAAACCCATTAATGTAACATCTGCCTTAATGGTTTCGCTAACTCCTTTTGTTTGGGCTCTG